CAACTCCCAGAATTCCCCAGCCAGCATGCTGGGAGTTGAAGTCCACCCACCTTAAAGTTGCCAAGGCTGAAAAACACTGTTGTAATGTGTTTTTTTCCAAAAACCAGAAAGTAAGCTTCAAAAAGCTGCATTCTGCCCCAGGGGGAGAAATCAATATAGACACACTAGACATATCAATATCAATATCAAGCCATATGACTGAATGAGAGAATCCAAAAGTTTTCATCAGTCTCTCCATCAGTGACCTTCTGTGGAGCAAAATCGCTTCTCCTCCACCACTCTAAAGGAGGAGAATGCATCTTCCAAGACGTTCCCAACTCCTTTCAGGATTAAGCAAGTTCAGCACCCTGGAGAGGTCCCTTTGCCCTAAAGGATCTCAGTTCCCAGAATTCCCCAGCCAGCATGGCCGTTGGTTGCTGAGAATTCCGGGAGTCGGTCCATGCCTTTGGAGGGCCTTGGAAAGGTGGGATCTCCTACTGACCTTTTCTAACCCTTCCACGAGCAGGTTGGTGGTTCGACGCCTGTGGCCTCTCCAACCTGAACGGTATCTATTATCCGGCCCGGCACCACATCCGGAAACTGAACGGGGTCCGGTGGCATCACTTCCAAGGTCCAGGATACTCATTAAAAAGCACACGGATGATGATCAAGCTTTCCGGCAGCCGTGAAGGGGCGTAACAGGACTGGCCAGGAAGCTGTTCCTCCGAGTCGTATTGCACAACCCCTGAGGCCTTGTAGCTTTGGATGCGCGGGGGGGAGGCAATGATCTCCGGGCAACACGATGCTTTGCACCAGGGTGGAGACCTCACCCCCAAGGCAGGTTGCAAGAATTAAAAAATACATTCCAGATAAGCAAAGAAGCTTGGGGAGGGCGCCTGCGTCTCCAAGGAAAAGAAGGCAGAACATTGAGGTTCCCAATCTATCAAAAGCGATTCGTGTAATTTAGATCTTTTGGGCTGCGGCCTACCAGAAACCCTTGTTTTAGCCCAGCCCCAAAACCCAGCAGATCCCATTGGTTTCCAACAGCCAGCACGGATGGATAATGTATATATTTGGAATGGCACACTTAGACTTAGTCCACGCATCACACAGAGCCATCAGGGGGTTTCTCGGATTTTAGCTCCTTCTGTTGCCTGAAACCGGCCGCTGGGTTTGTTAGCCATGCTTTAGTACAACTTGGTAGGAACCTGCCCAAGTGTGGTTTATGCAACAAAACATGGCTAGGACCAGGCATGAAGCCAGCATACATTGTAGGTGTACAATGCACGAAGCCAAGCGTAATGTTTAACATCACGGGTGGTGGCCAGAAAAACATTCATTTGGTTTTGCAAAAAGCACAGTTGTACAGTTGGTCAGTTAAAATAATCTAGGGCAGTGTTTCTCAACCTTGGCGACTTGAAGATGGGTGGACTTCAACTCCCAGAATTCCCC